CTTGTCCACTGGAAACTGGAGCGGCCTTTTTCCTTGAAGAATTTCCTTCAGTGGTTGTCCTTCCTCTCAACTCATGTACCCATGCTTCTAGGGCAGAGGTGGGTTTTCCATCCCAGTTCCTCATGTCCTCTCCGTAGTCACACAGGAAAAACCACAGGTTACCTCATGGTGTGTGCCTTCTTTCTCATGCAGGGGGGTGCTTGCTCCCAAGTAACACAGAGTCTGGTCTGTAGTGGTGGGGTCTTTTCTTCAAATTGCTGCCAGTCCTCTTTAAATTGCTGGAGGTCCTTGGACAGTCTTTCCATGGGTGAGACGCAGGCACATAGTGGGGAAGAGATACTTTCTTCATGTAGCCAAAGTTTGGTAACCAAATTATCCACTCTTTGTTCTCCTTCTTTCATTGACATCAATGCCAATGAGTTGGCATACGGTGATGGTGCGCTCCATAGGAACTTCCGCCACATGTTTTTTGTACACTGGACTTCATCTGGCTTTATAGGGGATTGTTTGCTATTTCAATCCTTACAGAGTACCACCAGCACAGCTAATTCTTTCAGGTACTGGATACCTTGCTCCATGGTGTTCCACTTGTTTTGGTGCACTAATAGATCATCCTTCAGAGAACACCTTTCCCTCACGCTTGACAGGAGTTGCCTCCAGAGGTTGAGAGTTTCTGTCCTCTTCCCAATCCCTTTCTCAATGCCCACATTCCGGGACAGGGATCCCAGTTTCTTGGCTTCACTTCCATCTAGTTTCATATTGTGGGTCGCGATATCCCAGCATCAAAGCAGCCAGATCACCAGGGGCTCTCCCGACTGGTGGATGAAATCTTTTTGCATATCTAGCAGCTCAGGCAGGGATAGGGATTGGGTGATTATTTCTGGCTCTGCCTCTTTCCTCCTGTTCTGAGTGCCCTCCTTTCTCTTCATCCCTCACTGAGCGATTTTGCCTTGGATTTCTTCTTCTGTATAGGGGCAACTACTACCAGCATGGGTTGTTCCTCTGGTTCAACTGCAGTTTGAGTGGCCACTGTGCCTGTTGGTCTGCTTTCCTCCTCCTCCTTCCCATGAGGGTGCTGTCTAGTAATGAACAGTGTCACATAAATAGTAGCCAGGGCCCAGCACGTTGCATAACTTCACCCCTCTCTGGAACTGTCACAGCATTTTTCTTTCAAATATGTCACTTTATCAGGGTCCTGTAGTTGTTCAGGGGTGGACTTCCAAACCATTGGAGCAGAATAGTCCTTCAAAAGCTGGTCAGTGCCCGAGGTTAGGGCAGGAGAACAACACTGAATACACATCCCAAATGACCCACATTGCCCTTGATGGTATCATGTCATAAACTGATATCACACAGGACAGCAACGAAGCAATCCTGATCCCTCTCCCTGCTATGAAAAAGAGCACCGCAAGGAGCACATATGGAAATATATACAGGGTTAGGTACCACGCCCACATGAACAGACCAAGCAACATTGGGACCAGTGGCTCTGTACCTAATACAACAAATTCTTAGATTAAATTTCTTTCCAACCCTCTCTGGGCACATATGTTGTTATCTCAACCCTTCGTGCCCCAGATTGGGTGCCAAATAAGGCTGTCATGGTTTAGGAATGGTATTCCCCAATTCAGTGTTCCCACTGAAACCACTACAAGTCCCTTCCCACATCATGCCACTGATGCTACATGGAGTAAGTGGGTCACTCTGATCACACAGTGAGTTCGAATAGGAAATCCCAATCTCTGAGGGATCTTGGATGTCATCATGAACTGACTCGAAGGTGAAAATTTCAAATTAGCATCATAAGACAAGGAGGAAAAGGGGACATGCTAAAGAGGTCCCACCATATAATCATCTACCAGGAAATGAAAAGTGATATGCTCTCTTTACTGACAGTTCCTGTTGTATTGTAGGGATACATCAAAAATAGACGCTGTTGTATGGAGTACTATGCAGTGAGTCACAGAAGCTATTGAGGGACAAGGTAGATCAAGTCAGGTTGCAGAGCTGAAAGACGTCCAGTTGGCTTTAGATATCGCTGAACAAGACAAATGTCCAGCACTCTACCTCTACGCTGACTCGTCGATGGTGGCAAATGCTCTGTGGGGGTGGCTAGACCAATGGAAAAAGACCAATTGGCAGTGCAGAGGGAAACCCATCTGGGCTGCTGAATTGTGGCAAGACATCGCTGCCCAGGTAGAGAAGTTGACTGTGAAAGTATGTCATGTAGATGCACACGTACCCAAGAGTTGGGCTACTGAAGAACATCGCAACAACGGACAGGTGGATCTAGCTGCCAAGATTAAAGTGTCTCAGGTGGATCTGGACTGACAACATAAGTGGGAATTATTTCTGGCTTGGTAGACCCATGACACACTTCAGGTCATCAGGGAAGAGATGCAACATACAGATAGGCTCATGATGGAGGGGTGGACTTAACCATGGACACAGGTTACCCATAACTGTGAAACATGCACTGCAATCAAGCAGGCCAAATGGGTAAAACTCCTGTGGTGTGGGAAACGATGGTCAAAATATAAATATGGGGAGGCCTGGCAGATTGATTACATCACACTCCTGCAGACCCGCCAAGGCAAGTGCGATGTGCTTACAATGGTGGAAACAACCACTGTATGGCTGGAGACATACCCTGTGCCTCACGCCACTTCCCGGAACAGCATCTTGGGCCTTGAAAAGCAAGTCCTGTGGTGACATGGCACTCCAGAAAGAACTGAGTCGGACAATGGGACTCATTTCAAAAATAGACACCTGGGCCAGAGAGCACAGTATTGAGTGGGTATATTATATTCCCTATCATGCACCAGCCTCTGGGAAAATTGAATGGTTTGATGGGTTGTTAAAAACCACATTGAAAGGAATGGGTGGTAGGACCTGCAAACATTGGGTTCTACATTTAGTGAAGGCCACCTGGTTACTTAACACCAGAGGTTCTACCAATCAACCTGGTCCTACCCAATCAAAACCATAAAAAGCACTGGGTTACAATTTGGGCAATCTATGGACTTAGGAAAATGTCTACAGTTCTTAAACTATATGCTTAATATGAATACAGTAATTAGTTGCATATTGCCTGAAACCTCATTTCCTAGTAAGTACAGAAAAAGATCAAAAGCTGAATCTTTAACTTCTGAGTTGTTCAACAATGCATGTCTTCAATGTTATGTGATCCAAGATGCTACCAAAATTAAAGCATTATGAATTAGTACAGTGTAACTGAAATTCCTTATCTAAAACTAAGAGAAAAAAAAGAGCAATTACATTTGTCTAATTCATTATAGTGGTGAAGGCAAGGTTTTAAATCACAGAATTTCATCATAAATGTGTGCATACTTCTCCAATATGAATGTACATGTAGACAAGCACTCAAAAGGGGATTATCACTTAACATAAAACTATTAACAAATCAAAGATAATACCTTACTGGTATAATGCAGTCTCAAAGAATATTTAACAGTAAACAATAAACAGTATTTCAAAGGTCTGAAATGAGAATTGACCACAAAAAATAGTATCTAGTTGTTATTTCCCTCCAACATCATGGCATATCCTCATTATAGACTACACTGTTGGTACCACCCCATGACTACTTAGAAAACCCTTTTACTGATCACAGTGCTAGGATCCCACAACATATAATGCTAAGAAGAAGGAAAGACTCTCTCCTGCAGCAGATCCCAGGACTCCTGCTCTGATATATAGAGCTACTCGTGCTTGACTCAAGCAGAGGCCTGAATGGTTGCACCTGTAGCACAAGCACTGCTATAGGAGAAATATATAAGACCCTGAATGACATTAGATTTTTTTCTTAAGGCATGGTGCAGGGGGGGCCATAGTGGCTTAGAAGTTCATTTGAGCAAACATTCTTCTGTTTTCTTGATGAATGAATGAAGGTATATGAAGACTTGAGTTTAAAGAATAGGAAGACTGTCTAAAGGAAGTATTCCGTAGTCTGAAAAAAAGTATCTTAATTTTAAATGTAATAATTTGACAAGTTTGAATAATACAAAACCCACAAAATTAGCAACATTTCTGAATCATAAAATATTTACTAATGTATCTTTTGGGAGAATATATTGTACATAAAATTTCAGGTCACCATGTGAAGCAATTTAAACCCTTTCAAGCTAGCACTGTCTTCAATGCTGTATAGATTTATTGCCACTGATACAAGACCTACTGAAAGCATACATTTTAAACTAATACAAAAATGGCTTTTTTAATTTGATTTTTTTGTACACAACCACTGCTTTTAATATCCACTAAGTGCAAAACAACACAGATCACTTTACACTACTGTAGCAACAATGCATTCATATTGTTCATTAGTTCTTAGTAGTCAGTCTGCATAAGACACAAGAAAAAGCACAGCAAAGCTCACAAAAACAAACTAAAAGTTGAACTGTTCTTGAAAAAAGTACACTGTAATGGAAGAAAGACAAAAACAGGACTATGCACACCACAGTTCTTTAATGCAACTGATGTAAGTGACGTTTGGTTTTTGTTGTTTTATTTGGGGTATTTGGGTTTTTTGGCTTTTTGTGTTGAATCAACTCACATAGAGTAGACACAAGTAAAATTAAGCAAAATTAAGAAAGCAGTGGGTAGCTAAAACTTTATGAAGTATTTTTCCTCCCTGTAATTTGTTTTCCTCTACCTGAGGTAGTTCCAAAAACCAAATCATAATTTAAGCACCAGCTAGGACTCAGACTTAAAGCTTCTGGTTTGGTGGGTTTTTTTCCTCCCTTTAAAAATTATTTTTCAGCTCACCAAAACTATCTGTGATGTTAAATACAGCAGAGATTTAGAGTTCTCACTACATGAAGAAAGATGGTGATCGGGAGGAAGAGGATTAGCTGATTCAAAATGTGACAATAGATTAACTTCAATCCATCTGGCTGGTTCACTGTTGACTTTTAGAAGTTTATTCTTCTTTATTGTCTATAAAATCAATGGAAGAAGTATGAAAGTATTTGAACACATCATCGTCCTTTACTGTAACCGGGGAAGAATTGGTCAAGTAGTGTCTGCAATATCTTGTTAGGAACCATGGCGTAGCTCTTTCCAAGGTCATAGCGGCAGGCAGGACAGGCAAAAACTTCAGCTTGGAAAGAGCACTGTAAACAGCTCTGGGGCATACAAAGACAAAGAAGTAAGTGTTACAGCTTTTGCTTTGCATCAAAAATGTAGCCAGCAAAAAATAAGTAATTACTAGGAACCAAAGATGCAGTTTCCCACATTTCCAGAAACAGCAAGTTCTTACTGAGTTGTCTTGCCATATTTCTGCCTTTACAACTGAAATAGTGTACTGGGTCTGGCTGGGATGGAGTTAATTTTCTTCATAGCAGCCTGTATGGTGCTGTGTTTTAGATCTGTGACTAAACCAGTGTTGATAATACACCAATGTTTTAGCTATTGCTGAACAGTGCTTGCACAGCGTCAAGGCTTTCTCTATTTCTCATTCTGCCTCCCCAGCAAGTAGACCGGGGATGAGCAAGAGGTTGGGAGGGGACACAGTTGGGACAACTGACCTCAACTGATCAAAGGGATATTCCATGGCATATACTGTCATGCTGGAAGGTGATCTTTCCAAAGTAGTCATTGCTTGGAGACTGGCTGGGCATTGGTCTCCTTGTGAGAGGTGATAAGTGAATGCCTTTGCATCACTTTTTTTTCCTTTTCTTTTTTTTTCCTCTTCACTTATTAAACTATCTTTATCTCGACCCATGAGTTTTTCTCACTGTGGAGAGAACTGAGTGAGCAGCTGGTGGGTGCTTATTTGCTGGCTGCAGTCAACTCATCACAAAGGACTTAACCAAAGAAATCTTTTGATTAGGAGGCAAAGCCTTGAGTCTGTCAGGAATGAAAAGTGTTACTACTGAAATACTTCATTTTCCCTAATGTGTTCCTGTGAATCAGTCTGTAGTTTCTTTCTAGCATTTCTGTTAGAATGCTGTAAGTATTCCAGAGTTTCATTTCAAAATGTAACCGAACATACAGGTGTATAGCATTTTATCTAACAATCCATAGCTACTTCACTTCTATGACAAGACTCAGTGTTTAAGCCTCAGGAGTAGAATAAAATAGGTTTCAGACTACAGTATCTAAAATATTTAATGTTGCCTTCTTTTTTTGTTTGTTTTCCCAGACTGCAGACAGTCCAAGCATATAAGTTAAATATGAAAATTTTATGAGGGCCAATCTTTTCACAAGCAACAACACTGTCAGTCTATACCTTAAAACAGTAATTGGACATTAGTTTATAATTAGTCATTGATATCTTCAGATTCTATGCTTTAAAGTTGTTTCCATTAAACATTCTTGATGTTTTTTCCACCAGTCTATTAACCCCATCATAATACTTTATGTAACAAGCAGCTCTTTGAAGGAGCAGTCTTGCTCTATTCTAATTTCTTAGCTACATAAAATTAACTTAATCTTTTTGTACCAACAATGCTCCTGGAACAAACCAATCACTAGCATAGCTCCACTAATTACAATGAAGTAATAAACTTGATACATCATGTCTATAAGAAATTATACTAAATACATTTCCATTTTTTTTACATAAAATTAAGATTGATTATATGGCAGCCACACAACTGGAAGCAAACATGTTACATTTCTTGCTCAGACTGCTAGACAATAATTATTGTCTTCCTAAAATATATGTTGGTTTTGGTGATCAATGTCTCAGGGCCAAGAACACAGTCCAGAGCAATACAGGGATTATTCTTACTTTACAGACGTTGTGGAGACACTCTGTTGTCACTGGCTGGTAAACCAGCTCCTGACAGCAGACACACATAAAAGATTGTTCCAATTTCTTCAGGAAATTCTAGTATAGGATGAAAGAAGAGAAAAGTAGAACTATTAGAGGCACATTCACAAATATGTAAACAAAAAAGGGCATTTTTAGTAAAAATTATTAGTTTTAAAAAAACCCTAATTTGCCTAACAATTGCAAATATTACCTATATTTAAATTTTAAATTCACAATCAAATTCACAGGCCTAAACTGAGTAAAAAATTTGGTCTTCATAGCATTTAGTAAATGCAGAGATACATTCATGAGATACTTGTTTAACATCCTTATTACTCCTCCCAAAATCACAGCATCATCTAATAGAGCTACACAACTGCTAGGAGTTGTTAAATCTCCTAAATAAAATTAAATATTCAGTGTGATAGGACAACTTGACATTGCAAAGATTGCTTACACTGAAACTTTTCTAGTGTGACCATCATGTCTCAGTCCAAGTTACAAATTTCCTTCCAAAGCCTACCACAATTGCCCCTGTATTCATGGATATTTACATAAGGACATTCCCACACCCTCTGCTATTACCTCTACCTGTTTCTGCTCATTCCCTATATTATTGTTGTTCACGGCTTCTTGTTCATTCTTATTTCCTCAGAAGTGAACCTCTATTGTGTTCAGTGAAAAGCGTATATTTAATAAATTATGTTTATTACATTAAAAAAATTTTTGAAAGCTCATATCCTTCACATCCATGAGAAGTAGAGTGGTTAACAAAGTATTTAGAAAACAAGTCCATGAACAATTAATTTCCCTGCTTTTCATAGAATGGCCTGGGTTGGAAGGGACCTTAAAGATCATCTAGTTCCAACCCCACTGCCATGGACAGGGACACCTTCCACTAGACCAGGTTGCTCAGAACCCCATCCAACCTGGCCTTGAACACTTCCAGGGATAGGACATCCACAGCTTCTCTGGGCAACCTGTGTCAGTGCCTCATCACCCTCTCAGTAAAGAATTTCTTCCTAACATCTAATCTAAACCTACTATCTTTCAGTTTGAAGCCATTCCCCCTCATTCTGTACATGCCCTTGTAAAAAGTCCCTCTCCATCTTTCTTGTAGGTTCCCTTAAGGTACTGGAAGGCCCCAGTTAGGGCACCCCAAAGCCTTCTCTTTTCCAAGCTGAATAAACCCAGTTCTCTGAGTCTTTCCATGTAGGAGAGGTGCTCCATCCCTCTAATCATCTTGGTGGCCCTCCTCTGGACTCACTCCAACAGGTCAGTGTCCTTCCTGTGTTGGGGACCCCAGAGCTGGATGCAGTACTCCAGGTGGGGTCTCATGAGAGCAGAGGGGCAGAATCCCTTCCCTCATCCTGCTGGCCACACTGCTTTTGATGCAGCCCAGGATACGATTGGCTTTTTGGGCTGCAAGCGCATATCGCCGGCTCATGTCCAGTCTCTTATCCACCAGCACCTCCAAGTCCTTCTTGGCAGGGCTGCTCTTGACCTGTTCATCCCCAGCCTGTATGGATACCAGGGGTTACCCAGATATCAGTTTTCCAGAAGACAGAGAACTACAATTTTGAAAGTCATTTGGTTGTACATTATTATGATTAAGAACAAAACAGAGATCCCATCAAACCTGATTCTTGGCACAAGTCAGAGAATTTGGAAGCTGATATCTGTATTTAGTGATCATCGCTATAATTTTGCACGTAGGTGATGGCTGATTGCTGCTGCTCTGCAAAGGGAAAGCAAAGTATTGTATACCTCTTTCACTAAGAAATTCACCTTTGCACCTGCTGGAGGTATTTAATATGTTTCTTGAGTCCTCACTCTGAAATAACCCACAATAGGTAAAAAAACCTTCCTGTTTTTCAGTCTTCTCAAAACAACTCTGAAGAATGTGGGATAAATTTTGTGCCATAGATTTTACACATACAAGCATACTTACATAGTCTCAAGCATACTCACTCAAGTATAGAAGTGTAAAAAACAGATCTAAAGTTACTCAAAATATAGTTATTTTCAATAATTTTAATAGTATCAGATTCATCTCAACTCAAAACTTATAATTAAAGTAGAACTGTTGTTTCAAGCATTAAGATTTATATTTTCATTGTAGCTATCTGCAATGGTAGCTGCGTGATTTCCACTGGAATTTTTATATGGCTATCACAAAAGGCAATCAAAATTATGGGCAGGAATCTATAGGAAAATAACTTTCTAGTAACGGGATTTCTTTGAAGATAGTGTTTTCTGTTGCTTTAGAAACACATATCTACTGTATTCTGTCATATAACTAAGTCGAAAGTCTAGTTATTTGCAAACATCAGACAACTCACTGATAAACAGCTTATAACTTTATAGTATCAGCTCCTATACAAGTACAGTAGTATTATAGCAATAGTAGTATTGTAAGTGGAAGAACAAGGAGTTACCAGATGTTTTTTTCTGTCAAAGAAGCAAAGTAAACAGCCCCTGGCAATATGCAAATAAAGTGATTTTGTGCATTCATTTTTAGGCATCCATTATCCATAAAATATTTTGGTCTTTCACTAACTTGATAGTGACTTTTACCATTCTGATATCTTGATTTCTTTTTCTTCTGCAAAACAGCTAAAATAACTATGAATTGGAACATAAATAAAGCTAATTAATGCTCAAGGATGTAATATTTTGTAGGATATTCCATTAGCGACTAATAAAAAAAAAAACCACAGGTGTCTCCAAACTTGAACTACCCTTGCTATTTTCTTGACAGCTAGGGAGGGAAATATATCCTCTTTTTTACTTAAGGTTCTCTCTATCATGGGTGAAATAATCTGCTAAACTTGAGTTAAAATATTTTCATTTGGTATCTAAGTCTCAATATGACAGTATTTCTTCTATATCTTGAAGTGAATGAAATTACATGCCCCATCAACTGTTTCTAAACAGATAGTATGTGTTCAGCAATTTTAAGCAAGCAAACTTGGTTTTAACAAAGCCTTATTTCTCCCAACTCTATATAAAGAAAGGTTAAAAATGAGTAATTTAAGCAAGTTGCAAGCATACTGGTCCTTCCTTAAGAGAAGCAAGTACTTCATCCCACAATTTCTGGTTCATAGAGTCTTCTTTAATCAGCCACTGCTGTTGCTGGGTCAGTTGGAAAGCTTCTCCTTTCCCTCCATCTCCCATTCTCATGGCTTTGGATGTATTTTTAGTCTCCTCTATACCTGTTTAAAATTATGACAAGATACAGTAACAGTGGTGGTTTGAACAATTAAAAGGGAAGACAAAATTATTTCTAGAAAGCTAAAACATTAATCACATCTATGTAATAATAATGGCCAGTCTTCGCGAACGAAGATTTGGGGAAAGGTCTTTTACCTTTCCAGCCTGCGCAATGGATTTTTTAGGTGAGACACAGCCTGCGCTGAACTGAGCCCACCCTTTAATCCTAAGGTTCATCTGCCGGGGCCAAGCAAGCTTGGACAATGGCAGTGAGGTCCTCAGGACGTAGGTTTGTTTAGAGTGACCTTCTCATAGATGGATGGCCTCACAGGGCTAACGAGCTCCATCTGCCCGGGGAGACTGGTATTCGAACCTGGGTCGCAGCGGTGAGAGTCCCGCATGCTAACCACTAGGCCACCAGGGGTCCCCTTCACACATATATAATGTCCCTCAAAATGACAATGTATCTGACAACTTCAGCATAGCTAATTACTAGGTCATAAACAAATACACTTCCAATTGAAGGATAAAACTGGAGGCATGAAACATTTCTGTCTAACTTATGTAAGTCTGGAAGGGCTCAATGTGGCAACTAAACCATATATTAGTCAAATCTATTTGCTTACATGCCACCAATGTATTTCTTAGCACCACCAGCTGAACTACAGCCATTTCAGTAACCAAAATCTATTTCTGCCCCATGTGAAAATCTGTGGCTCATGAACGTAAAGCACATCTTGGGACTACATCCCTTTCAAACTTTTTAATGTTTATTTAGGATCAAGCCCAGACCTTATTAAGTCTTGGAATGATTCTTATCTAGTTTTAGAGTGCTTGTTTAACCCAGCGGGCAGTATGTGCTGGCTCAGTCCATGCCTGCTATGGCTGAAGACCCTGGCTCAAGCTCAAGACAAAAGTGTGAAGATTTCCATTACCATCTCCTGCATGAGCCAGCAGGGAGCCATCACACTTTGATAAGACTCATAAGAAACTCTCCATGCTATGTTCCGAAGTGTAACTGTATACCTCCACAAAGAGCTATGTAATTATGCAATAAAGCTCCAATTCAAATTACCCAGATTTATTTTGAACTATAGATCATAACTACATAGAAAATTGTCCATTTTTCTGTGAAGTTTAAGAAAAAGAAACCTTAAAAGTATGGAAGAGCATCATAAGATCCCCAGCTTCCCATTTTATTACTGAGCACTTAACACATTACATTTGGATTCCAAATGACTTCCAACTTCCTTGTAGTTTTCATACTATTGGCTTATATATAACTTGACAGAGCTCTAACTCTAAGAAGTAAAATGAAATACCATCATCAATTGTCCTTTTCTGGTTTCCATTACTCTGGCTGGTTGGCTCTTGCTTCCCACTTTGCTTCTTAACCTTATTCTTTTTCTCTTTACTAGCCATGGCTTCCAAATAGCCTTCTGGATACTAAAAAAACCACGAAAACCAGATTTAAAACAAAATCAAATGGCATCTGGGAATTCCCAAATATTGACAAGTTTATTTTCTAAAAGAATGTAAACCCCTATGACTACATATTAAAATAATATAAAAATATTTTTAAAGCCCTATATAAACAGGAAAGCTCTTAAATTAACATATTTTTAGAAAACTGTAGTTAAGTCAAAGGATCTTATCTAGATTACAGATTTTACTAAAAGGCACCTTATATCCATATCTGCAGCTCTAATTACAAAAATCAGAAAGCTAAAGTTGAAGATGATGTCATGTAGCAAAACAAATCATCCAAAGGAAATGATTGGCTTGCTGAGGAAAAAAAAATACTACTTTCATTCTTCTCATCTGCCACAAATTTCACAGTGCCAGAGTTCCTGCCTGAAATATGTTATCTGTAATAGTTCCTCAATAATAGGTTGCAATTAGAGAAAAATACATAAAAACATATATATATTTAAATTCTAAGAAGAGACTCAACTATTATAAGAGTTACTTTTATAAATCTTATCCAATGTAAGGATCACAAAACTGTATTCAAAGTTATTTTCTAAACCATATATACAGAGTAATTTCCTGTTAAAGCAGAAAGCTTAATCCACAATTCTCTCTGCTTTGCAATTATCATAGCTTTCAAATTACAAATATTTCTAAAATATCAAAATATTTTATATTAGATCCTGCTTCATTGTAGTACATGAATAATGGGCCTTAAATTTTATTCACAGTCCTAGTTTTAAAATTTGAGACTCCATTTACTTGAACTTTGTGAACACTGATTCTGACCTGTACACTCAGACCCAGTTTCTTTGACCGTTCCATCCCTTCTGAAGTCCAGGGTGCGGGTTCAATATCATCTCTCCTCAGAAGATAGCGCCAAACTAAGAACCCACATTTTCCAATTTCTGGCCAATATTTTACCACCTAAGGATAAATAACAACAGGCTTATATTTTTGCTATCGCAGAAGATCATAGAATCATAGAATGATTTGGGTAGGAAGGGACCTTAAAGATCATCTAGTTCCAACCTCCCTGCCATGGGCAGGCATGCCACGCACTAGATCAGGTTGCTCAGGGCCCCATACAACCTGGCCTTGAACATTTCCAGGGACGGGGCATCCACAACTTCTCTGGGTAACCTGTTCCAGTACTTCACCACCCTCTGAGTAAAGAATTTTTCCCTAATATCTAATTTAAACCTGCCCTCTTTCAGTTTAAAACCATTTCCCCTCGTTCTGTCACTATCTGCCCATATTAAAAGTCTCTCTCCCTTATTTTTATAAGCTCCTTTCAGGTACTGAAAGGCTGCAATGAGGTCTCCCCAAAGCATCCTCTTCTCCAGGCTGAACAACCCCAGCTCTCTCAGCCTGTCTTTGCAGGAGAGGTGCTCCAGGCCTTTGATCATTTACATGGCCCTCCTCTGGACCCGCTCTACCAGGTCCATGTCTTTCTTGTGCTTGAGGACCCCAGACCTGGACACAGTACTCCAGGTGGGGTCTCACAAGGGCAGAGTAGAGAGGGAGAATCACCTCCCTTGACCTGCTGGCCATGCCTCTCTTGATGCAGTCCAGGATGCAGTTGGCCTTCTGGGCTGCGAGCACACACTGCTGGCTCATGTCCAGCTTTTCATCCATGAGAACGCCCATGTCTTTCTTGTCAGGGTTGCTTTCCATGACTTCTTCTCCCAGTCTGTACTCACGTCTCGGATTGCCTCAACCGAGGTGCAGTACTTTGTACTTGGACTTGTTGAACTTCATGAGGTTCCCATGGGCCCACCTCTCAAGTTTGTCCAGGTCACACTGGATGGCATCCCTTCCTTCTGTTGTGTCAGCTGCACCACTCATCTTCATGTCATCTGCAAACTTGTTGAGGGTGCATTTGATTCCACTGTCTATGTCATTAATGAAGATATTAAAGAGCACTGGTCCCAAGACAGAGCCCTGAAGGACACCACTCATCATTGGCCTCCACCTGGACATAGAGCCATTACCCACAACTCTCTGGCTGCATCCATCCAGTCAATTCCTAATCCACTGAATAGTCTGTTGGTGGACAGAAATTGTGTGAACAATTTCTATTGCATTTCTGCGAACTTCGCCTTGGCATGGCTGGGTGCAGACAGTAAAAAATACTACGCCACTAATATGGCTGCAGGCCTTATGCCAAGGTGAAGGAGGAGTTTTTTGGCAGGTAAACAAGTTTTATGGACACCTGCTGTAATCCAATTAGTACTGTACAACAAAGTATGTTTTCCTTATGTATCCAATGTAGCGTGGGGAAGAATCACGTTTGAGTGTCATAAGCAGTATAAAAGATGATCTGTGAGCATATGTCCATACCCCTCTGCTGATAATAGTCCATACAGCAAATCCATGTCTCTCCAATTTGGAGAGAAGGATATCATGTGGGACCATATTGAAGGCCTTATAGAAGTCCAGATAAATGACATCTGTTGGTCTTCCCTTGTCAACCGTTGCCATCACTCCATCATAGAAGGCCACCAGATTGGTCAGGCCCTTAGTGAAACCATACTGGCTGCCTCAGATCACTTCCTTGTCTTTCATGTGCCTTAGCGTATCTTCTAGGAGGATCTGTTCCGTGATCTTCCCAGGCCCAGAGGTGAGGCTCACCGATCTGTGGTTCCCCAGGTCTTCCTTTCTCCCCTTTTTAAAAACAGATGCAATGTTTCCCTTTTTTCAGTCACCAGGGACTTCACCTGACCACCATGACTTTTCAAATATGATGTAGAGTGGCTTGACAACATCAACCAGTTCCCTCAGGACCCTGGGATGCATGTCATCAGGCCCCATAAACTTGTGGCTATTCAGCTTCACCAAGTGGTCCTGAACCTGCTCTTTGCTTATAGTGGAAGGGACTTCTCCCCCACCCACCCAGAGGATCAGGGACTTGAGAGATGTGGGAAGCCTGACTGCCAGTGAAGACAGGCAAAGAACTTGTTGAGTACCTGAGTCTTATCCATATCAGTCACCACCAGTTCACCCTTCTTGCTTATTGGGGTGGGGTACACTCTCCTTGGCCTTTCTTTTCTGAACTATGTACTTATAGAATCCCTTTTTGTTATTCTTCACATCCCTTGCCAAGTCCCATTCCATCTGTGGCTTAGCTTTCCTGATCCCATCCCTACACATTTGAACCATATCCCTGTACTCCCCAGGTCACCTGTCCCTGCTTTCACTGGCTGTGTATTTCTTTCTTACTCCTTAGTTTGAGGAGCAGATCCTTGCTCAGGCATGCTGGTTTCCAGCCTGCTGTGCTTGATTTCCTACAGACTGGGATAGAGAGCTCTTGCGCTCTAAGAAATGTGGTCTTAAAGAGTTACCAGCTCTAGTCAACTCCTCTGTCTTTAAGGACAGGTACAAGGTACCCAGGGGAGCTCATTCATCAACTCCTTAAACAGCCCAAAGTTCACTTCTCAAATCTAATGTAAGAAATTCTACTCAAAAGCTCAACAGATAGTTGAACTAACAGATAGTTCTGCTAGATAGTCATTAATTTACCACAAGCCAAACACATGAAGGTAGTTATACTTTATTGACTCAAGGCAAAGACAGGAAATTTGAATAATATGTTACTATTTTAAAGTATCTCTTCTCAGTTGGGAAATGTTTGTTTTTTGATAAATAAAAGATGCACGTCTTTATTCCAGATACTGAGAAGACATTAAGTGTATGAAAAGTTAGAAACGGAGCTGGAAGGAGTGAAGAAATCAATTGATTTCCAGGGATGAATATGAGTCAGCAAGCACACACAAAAATAGCTTACATATTCAACTCCATATATCCTATTATAGACTGTGTTCTACTATCACTGCTCTGAATAGAATAACCATAGAATCATAGAACAGCCCAGGTTGGAAGGGATGTTGAAAGGTCATCTGATCCCACCTTTTGTGGGAAAGGGAGCCTAGATGACATTATCTAGCACCCTGTCCAACCACATCTTGAAAACCTCCAGCAATGGGGACTCTGCTGTGTCCCTGGGGAGGTTGTTTCAGTGAATGATTGTTCTCACTTTAAAAAAATAATTCCTTATATCAAGATGAAACCTCTCCCCATGCAACTTGTACCTTTTTGCACCTTGTTTTTTCCATATGGCTCCTTGTAAAGAGAGTACGGCCTAACAAGGAGAGTGATATGATCAAGTCTATCTCTGCTAGTAATGCCCCTGCAGATGCAGGCCAGGATCTGATTTGCCTTTGTTGCTGCAGCAACACATTGCTGACTCAGGTTCAGCTTGTCCACTAGGACCCCCAGGTCCCTTTCAGAAAGGCTGCTCCCCAGCCACACAGATCCTCACCTGTACTGGGCTCTTGTTATTCTAACCCAGGTGCAAGATTTTGCACATCTGTGTTAAACTTCATACTGTTCTTGCTAGCCTACTCTTCCAGCCTGTCCAGGTCTCTCTGTAAGATGGCTTTCCCTTCTGATGCGTTCACCTCACCATGCAGATTCCTGCCATCAGCAAACTTGGTGAGGATGCTTTCAATCCCATCGTGCAGATAATTTATGAAGATGTTTGTATTGGATCTGGCTGGGATGGAGTTAATTCCCCCATAGCAACCCTCACAGTGCTGTGCTTTGTATTTATAACTAGAAAGGTGTTGATAGCATACAAATTTTTTGGCTACTGCTGAGCAGTGCTGGCACAGCATCAGTGCTGTCACTCCAATCACTGCCCTAACCCCAAAGGCCAGTAGGCTGGGGGTGGGCAAGAGGTTGGGAGAGGATATAGCCAGGACAGCTGATCCAAGCTGACCAAAGGGAACCTGAATGTACAAAAGTCTATGGGACACAATGAGATGCCTCCCAGAGTCCTGAGGGAATTGGCTGATGTAGTTGCCAAGCCACTTTCCATGATATTCGAAAAGTCATGGCAGTCAGGCAAAGTCCCAGGTGACTGGAAAAGGGGAAACATTGCATCCATCTTTAAAAAGGGTAGAAAGGAGGACCCTGGGAACTACCAACCTGTCAGCCTCACCTCTGTGCCTGGGAAGATCATGGAACAGATACTCCTAGAAGCTTTGCTAAGGCACATGGAGGACAGGGAGGTGATTCGAGACAGTCAGCACAGCTTCACCAAGGGCAAGTCCTGCCTGACCAACCTAGTGGCCTTCTATGATGGAGTGACTACATCAGTGGACAAGGGAAGGGCCATAGATGTCATTTATCTGGACTTCTGTAAAGCTTTGACATGGTCCCCCACAACACCCTTCTCTCAAAACTGGAGATTGATGGATTCAGTGGGTGGACTGTTAGATAGATAAGGAATTAGTTGCATGTTCTCATCCAGAGGGTAGCGGTCAACAGCTCAGAGTCCTGATGGACATCAGTGACAAGTGGTGTCCCTCAGGAATCTGTATTGGGACCAGTGTTATTTAATATCTTCACTAATGATGTAGACGAAGGTATAGAGTGCACCCGCAGCAAATTTGCACCAAGTGGAGTGGTGTGGTTGACACACCTGAAGGATAGGATGCCATCCAGAGGGACCTGGACAAGCTTGAGAAGTGACCCTGTGGGAATCTCATGAGGTTTAGCAAGACCAAGTGCAAGGTGCTGCACCTGGGTCAGGGCAACCCCTGGTATCAATACGGGCTGGGGGATGACCAGATCGAGACCAGTCCTGCTGAGGACTTGATGGTGCTGGTGGATAAGAGGCTGGACATGAGCCAGTAATATGTTCTTGCAGCCCAGCAATTGTATCCTAGGCTGCATCAGAAGAAACGTGGTCAGCAGGTCAAGGGAGGTGATTCTGCCCCTCTACTCCACTCTGGTGAGAACCCACCCAGAGCATCCAGCTCTGGGGGCCCCAACACAGGAAAAACTGACCTGTTGGAGCAAGTCCAAAGGAGGGCCACCAAGATGATTAGAGGGATGGAGCACCTCTCCTATGAGGAAAAGAT